ACTCAAATAAAAAGTAGCTAGAAAGACATTTAAATGCGAGGGAAATGTTTGTGATAACCGACAAAGAGCACTGGACAGTTGTTTCGTTCTGTTTGCGACTCGTCAACAGTGCGTACATTTGTGTTCCTGTCAGGGTTTGAAGTCCGGACCTATATGTCCACAGTTCGAGTCCTGACAGGTACACAAATGTACGCACTGTTGACGAGTCGCAAACAGAATGAAACAGCTGTTCAATGCTCTTTGTCGGTTATCACAAACATTCCCACCGCATTTAAATGCATTCAAATAGTAGGGAATCAACGACCTCCCAAGGAGTGAAACCTACACAGAACATAATCTGCCTGGTGCCTATGAGAAACCAAATGGGCCAATCCAAACATTCATCAGACATTTACATAGTTTATTACCCTGCCTCCAGTATTCTACTGCTTTTTCCTCTATCTTGCCGAAGAATTTCGAAACCGGATACCAGCGAGCTCTCTATGTTTCAGTTCAACCACAATTCCTGTATGCATACCACACACGTGTTTATGTGCATGCGATAAGCTAGTATATCAGTCAGGACAACCAAATTGCTAAACAGCGAGTACATGGTGGAACTGAACAATGAGGGAACCGTCACCTTCAAAGACGTGCGTGTGTGTAGGAATGTTCTACCACCCGGAAGGTTTACGTTTCTTGAACCAGTAGGAAAATCCAGTTCACATAAACTCACGAGAGTTGGATAACACAAGACGGGAATGTTTACCTTTTATTCCCAGTAATAGTTGTGTGGGATACGAACGGCACGAAAACGTAATGGAAGTCAAGAAATAAATTCGAATAGGCAGTGAACACGAATCGACAACTGAAAAACGCATGAAGTGTCCCGCAAAACCTCACACAAGGTTCCATCAGAACCCGAATATTCCTTCAACATTGACATACCGAGTTGGCAAAAAACCCTAATTCCAAACCAACCAAGAGGAGGCGTACAAACCACACACCTTGGTTGTGTCAATGTGCATAGGCTCAATTGGGAACCTTGGATACTTGAACCCGTCCAAAGGGCGTACGATCCGATGAACGAAACACCAGTCCTCAATAGTTTGGGGTTTTCACACACCGCGCAGCAGCCTTGTGGGGCAGGCCTCAGCTAGCCGGAAGCACCGGGTGTGAATTCCCCAAGAATGTTCACCTGTCTTGGTCCGGGCAACCTGGAAGTATTCCCCCAAGTGCAAATCACGATCTTTTTTTCTTTTTATACAGTTATATATATATCACACTTGTCTGAGGACAGAGTGTGTGCCAAACAAATCATGGTAAAATAATCTTTATAAAAAGAAAATGTTCCATGATTGGCTTGTGGGCTGAGTACTGCCACGTTGCCCAGGCCAAGGCAGGTGAATTTTCTTGAGGAATCCACAACCGGAGCCTTCGGCTAGCCAAAGCCTGACCCGCAAGGCAGCGGGGCGCTGTGTGAGAACCGCAGTCCATTGGTCCCCCAACCCGGCTATAGCCCCGGA